GTTGATTGTCAAAAAATAATTATTGTTAATTTAATATGAAGAAATATTTTTTAATAAATTTAGTTTTTATTAATATTTTTTATTACTTTTTAAATGAAATTTTGATTAACTTTAAATAAATAAAAATAATTACAAAAGTTAATATTTTTATTAATTTCACTAATAATTAACAATTATATAGGAATGACAATAGGGTGGATTCAGGGCACGACACCCCATCTCTGTCCCTGCCCCATAGTTAAGACACACTACCCCATCCCCGCCCCCATCCTCAGTGTCAGGCGGGGCAACCACTCCTCAATGTCAAGCGAGTTCAGTGCCAAGGCACCCCACTCCTCATCAAAGATGGGGAATCCTCGAATTTCCCTACCCCATCTCCAATATTGGGCAGGTTCATGTAGAGGTGTAAATCRGGTCGTGCTGAGCCAAGCTAGGCCGCGAACAGGGCCAAGCTATGAGAGGTCCATTTTTTAAAAAAATGAAAAAATGTTGAAATTTTTATTTCATATGATTTTTGATATATACAATTAGACGTATTCATGGGCTAGGTAGCTCGACGGCTCGACCCGACCTAACCCATTAATTTTCAGGCTTAGACAAAATTTGAGGCTTGTGGGCTTGAGCTCAAGCTTTCTCAAATAAGCCCGACCCAATACTATTACATATATAAAAAAGTTATTTATGTTATATATAATAAATATAATATGCTTCTTAAATTATTAATAAATATCAATTTACTATTAGGAAATATAAATTAGTTTATTAAATTATTACTAAATTAATATAATATTAGTTTATAAAAGTATACTAAAAATAAGACATTTTGTGTACAGATCGGGCTTCGGGCTCGGGCTTAAGCTTTGAGCTTTATATAAGGACTGGGCTTGGGCTCAAGATCTAGGCCCGATGGTCAGAACGAGCTCGGGCTTAGGCTAGCACATTTTCTGTTGATAAAGAGGTTCGTGTTAATTATAAAACTATGATTTTTTACAAATTAAATTTTTTATTTAATTCTAGTTTAGTATAAAAAATATATAATATTTCTATATATATTAATATAAAATTTGTTATTTAAATACTATATAATAATATTTACCATATATGCATATAACTTCCAAGTTGAGCTTATTAGGGGTTGTTTAGCTTAGGCCCTATTCGCTAAAGCCATCATTGGACTCCAGAAGTTTGATACCCAATTAGACTTCGGATCTAATTATCCCTGATAATGTGTGGCCATAGTGCATATCTCAGCTAAACCTAATTCAAAAGAAAATAGCTGCTTAAGCCTGCAAATTTATAGATCTAATCGGGTTAGGTTAAGTTATAAACGGTTTGTTACTTTTTATTATTAATTATTAAAATATTGTAATTATTAAATTACTATATTTATTTAACATACAGAAGTTTCTAGAAATTATAATATTTTCAGAAATATTGCTAATTTCTTGGCTAAAACTAATTAAATTTATTTTTTTGGTAATTAAATATAATTTTCTACTATTTATAGCTTAAATTATAATTACTATTAATTATAGTTTAAAAATAATTATTGTTAATTATATTACTATTAATAATTAAAATACATTATTTTTTCATTATTATTTAGTTTTGTAATAAGATACAATTAATTTAATTTTTTTAATTATGTTTAAGTATTTTAATTAAGATTTAGGTTTTTAGAATTTTTGGATTTTTAATTAACTTTTGGTGTTTTTTCATTATTATTCAATAATTTTTGCATATGAGTATTTTTCAATAATTTTCAGTATTTTTGTCATTAATTTATTTTTTCATATTAGTCACTATAAAATTAATACAATAGTTAATGAGAAGTATAACTAATTTTCAATATTTTTCAATAATTTCTGGCTTGGGTATTTTTTTAATAATTATTGTTATTTTTAATAATAAAATACTATTAATTATTTCTAGTAAATACCCTAATTAATATAAAATATTGTTAATTTTCAATATTTTTTAATTATTTTTAGTATTTTAATTATCTTTTGGTTTCTCAGAATTTTTTGGATTTTTAATTAATTGTTGGTATTTTAAAACTATTTGTTAATATTTTTTATTAGCATTTATTAAAGTCTCAACTCATAAGTTATCTAATAATATTATTAAAACTATCAATTAATATTTTTATATTTAAACTTCTTATTTGTATTAGTGTTTATTAAGTTGAAATTTTAAGTGGAATTGGAACACATTTTTTAATATTTACTAAGTTTTGTTAACCTCAACCTATTTATATTATTTGATTTATATCATGTTTTCAAAATCTGACCGAACTAGAAAAACCGAGAACCAGTCAGGTTCACTTTGCATCCCATAACCGTTATTTCGCAAAAAAAAAAAAAAAATCGTTGATTTGGTCAATAAACCGCTGACCCAGGTGGTCAAGCCGTTTGAACCGTCCAATAGTTTTGCCCATTTTTTGTCAGAATGGGTCGTATGTTCGGTTTGAACAGTCAAATCGTTTGACCCAAGAACCAAACCTATGACCAGTTTGGTTTTAAAAACCTTTATTTATATTATTACTACTATTTCTCTCTCTCTCTTAAATGTAATAATTACATGCATTAAAATAAGAGGCCTTGGAAAACCCAAAGGTCTCTCTCTCTTAAATTTCTTTCTTAAATGTAATAATAACATGCATTTAAATAAGAGGCATTGGAAAACCCAAAAGTCTCTCTCTAAGGCTATGTTTGGTTTGAAGGAAAAGGTTGGAAAGGAAGGGAAAGACAAGGAAACTTATACAAGGTTTGTAAAGGTTTCCCTACCTTTCCCTTCATTTCCCTGCATTTTCCTTCAAGCCAAACATAGCCTAATAGTGTGCAGCTTTATTAATCTAATCAAGATAAGCAATGATTACTGTTTTATATTTTTAAAACAAAAAAAAATGAAAAAATACAAAAAATGAAAAAAATAAATAAATGACTTCTCTCAAAGGAAAGACATACTGATATGGACCGTCCAATTTTAATATATAGATGTTCATAATATCTCCCTTCCTCCTATTAAATCCATGATTTTCTATTAAATATTTTTTCCCTCTCTGATAAAATATGGGTATAAATTATATATGTTGGGTGGATTGGGTTGAGTTTCAGCTCAATCTAGGCCTAATCCTAAAAATTGAGCTTGAATTGAGGATGAAGTCAAGCTTGATCTGTCCAACCCAGGCCCAACCCCATTAAAATTTGATGCACTTGCGTTGGGCTTAAGCCCAACTAAGCATGGTTGGTCAATCAACCCACACTAAAATTTCACATAAACGTTACGGATACATATATGCAAATATGTATCTATATATGCATGCATGTATGTGTATAGTCAGCTAAGCTTGGGTTGAGATAAGGTTAGGTCAAGGCCAAGTTCAAACTATCTAAGATTTTAGGCTTGGGTCCATCCTAAAAATAACATAAAAAGTTTTGAACTTTTGAGTTTAGGCCTAGCTGGAGGAAAAAAAATCTAAGCTCAAACTGTGTAAAATTGTGACCTGGGTGAGTCAAAGATAACATTGGGCCACCCAAGTTGAACTCATAAGGCTATGTTTGTTTTGAAGGAAAGGGTAAGGAAATATTCACGAATCACGATATAGGGATGGAATCTGCTCAGAATAGGAACCGTCCCAATACACTTCCAACATAATTTGTGTCCGCACATCTCACATTGAGATCGGGACCCACACGTCTGCAATGTGTGGATAATATTATGTTGGAACAGATTTTTGTTGTGAGCAGATCTGACGCCACACACTATACATATGTGAGGCATGCTTTTAAGAGTTTGCATCTGTTCCCCCAAAGAGGAGATCGGATCTGCTCCTCACACCTGGCGCCTCACAGGTGCCTCACATGCACATCCTACCATATATTGGGAATATTTTATGTACTTATTAATTATTATTCACGGGAGATGCTCTCAATGCATGGTGGATGTGACTGAGGCACCCATTTGTGAGGAAGTAGATCCTATCTCCCCAAAGAGCAAGACCAGATCTATTCCTCACACAGGGCACCTTACATCGATCTCACATGCACATCAACATTTTTTGTATTTGTAAGTTATTATTCACAGGAGATGTTCCCAATACATGGTGGATGTGCCTGTGAGGCGTTCATGTGTGAAGAGCATATCCCATTCCCCAAAGAGCACGTTCCATAGGCGCCCCACATATGCACCCCACTAACACCCCACAACATATCCCAACCATGTATTGGGAATATCTACTGGCAATTTTGGCAATTTTGGGAGATGTTCCCAATGCTCACTGAGATGTGCATGTGAGGGATGTGATGGCAGATTTGATCTCTTATATCAACATGCATCGGAAACACCTCCCTTAATTGTCAATGGGAGATGCTCCCAAGCAAGGTTTTTAAAATCGACCCGGAGAACGAATCGGTCAGGGTCCGGTTCCTGGGTTGAATGGTCTGATCGTTAGAACTGAATGATCGGCCTGTTTTGACAAAAAAAAAGTCAAAACCGTTCAAACGGTTAACCACCCGGGTCAGCAGTTTGCTGACCAAAATCAACCGTTTTTGGAAAAAATCTAGTTTTGGGGAAAACGGTGATCGGTTCCCGATTTTTCCAGCTGACCATCCGGTCCGATTTTGAAAACCATGCTTCCAAGTCGCAATACAGAATAGGGGATGTGCCGTGGGGAGCCCTTGCTCTACGGGGTGTACATGCGAATTCTGTTTTTCAGGGCCAAACCAATTTGCCACGTGGCTTGATCATTCTTATCTGGACGATGAATTCACATCTGATACATCTGTTGCATATGCATATCACATCAACTAAAATTTTGATCAAACGCTGACGTGTTCGCATTTCACTGGTAGGCGTGGGTGCAGCAGACGTGAACTCCTGAAAGACTGGTACCGTCGGCTACAGATATCACCTTCTTTTTTTTTGGTACGATACAGCAATCACTCAAGGTTATGGTTTTTCTTTGTAATGTTGGCATATAACTACCAATGGTTAATATTTCTCCTTTTGTTTATTTTTGTTTCGTTTGTTCTCCCCCTTGCACTTGCAGCGTACGACGAGATCCGCTCCGGGGATGAGCATGGAGAGGAGAGCAACAAATCATGAGGGGCATCTGCCTCTGCCTCTGCCTCTGCCTCTTCATCTCCATTTATTTTATTGAAATAGTTCAGCAAATTCCTTTCCTTTTGCTCCTTAACATATCAAGTCTTCGTTGATTCTTGTTAGATCTAGATAGCGGGATATGTCGGGTGGAGAATTCGGTGATCACATACATATGCTGCGATCGAATTCTCCATCAGAGGAACCGGATTTGGAGTCCGCGCAGGGAGGTGGAGTAGGGAGGAAGAAAGGAATCAGGGACCTGCTGAGGCATCTGGATCGACAGCTCTCGGGCCGACGCCTAAGCCGGAAGCATTTGGACAGGGAGCCTTCTGGTCCTTCGTCTTCAACGTCTTCTTATGTTGTGGTAGGTGATCAATCGTCCCACGATGCCCTCAGCGATGGCGCTCCCCCTGAGTGGTTTTTGCTTCTTGTTGGCTGCCTCCTCGGCCTCGCCACCGGTCTCTGCGTCGCTGCGTTCAACAAGGGGGTGAGTCAGGCTTTGCTTCTGTTTCTTCTCCATGTTATCATTTAAGTAACTCATTATTCTTATGCATTTGATTATGAAACTCTGAGTCGTTATGATGAGGTCTTAATGTGTTGTTCCGCATGTTTTGATTAGGTACATTGCTTGTGTCTATGTTTTCTTTCTTTCCTTTTTTTTTTTTTCTGTAATGAATTTAATGATTCCCATATTCGAAAACGAACGAGAAGAATTAGATATTTTTATGATGATGTGGTGCTATATTTTAGAAGCGGGGAATCATTGTTTCACCATATTCTTTTTCCTGTAAATGGTGTTTGGACATTGTGAAAGATGATATGTTAAAGGTGTTCCAGGTATTTCAGGAGGACTGTTTGAATTCCATTCTCTTAGCCTTATTAATCCCAAAGAAAGACGCAATGGAGTTGCAAGCCTTCTAGCTGTTATCATTGGAAGCATCTACCATATGATATCCAAAACTCTTGCTTTGGGAATGAAGAAGGTAAAGATTGTGATAATCTCCCCCTCTGAAGGAGCTATTCTTACAGGACCGTCAAATCTGGATGGTTTCCTAATTGAAAATGGGTTGATTTTCTCTAGTAGAGGTTAGTAGGATTGGGTTGACATGCAAAATATACTTGGAGAAAGCATATAGCCACCCCAGCTGGAGCTTCCTTGATTACATATTGGGCAAAGCAAATTTATTGGAAGTGGAGAAACTGGATCTCACCTGTTTGGAAACTCCAAAATTTTCTACTTCTATGAAGTGGGGGGTATCTAAAGGCTTCTTTGAGAGCTTTGACAGTACAGGACAGGGTGGTTCCCTCTTCCTATTGTTTGTTTATTTGTTTGGAGGATGCACTCGGAAGGCTTTACCACAAGCAGTAGATGATGCTTTCATTGGGAATTTTGGAGTAATTGCTAACCTTATTCAGTAGCTGGTGACAGTTTGACACATCATTCTTTTGTGATGCAGAACAAATGTCATTGCTATATCTCAGATGCCTCTGGGGTTATCAATTGGATCAAATGTACTGAGGTTCAAATTTAATATCATTAACACAATGAATTAGAAATGTTGTTGATAATTAATAAAGTAAACTAAAAATGAACTGAATAATATATTATTAGTAAAATGAACTAGAAATGTTGTTGCTCAAAAATGTTTAGGAATGACTTAAAAAGTAACTCCTATCCTATGACACTTTTAGTAAAGATACAACACTCAAGCCAACTTTACTAATGCCTAAGGTTAGGTCTGTGTCCAGTCTTTCCCTTCCAAGACTTGCAATAGCAGGCACTAATGTTGTGTACTGGCCCTTGTTTACATTATTACATATTTAAATGTTATTGGATTTGGATATTTTGGATAGCATTGATCTGAATTCATATTTCAGTCCTGGTTTAATAATGTATCATATTCAGATCAGATTTTATATTCAAACTTAAAGTAAATGGATACCTTTTACAGTCTTAACCATCCTTTGGTGGTTTGAAGCAATTTCAGGCCTAATGTTAGGCCCGGCTAAGAGTGAAATATTGGATGTTGGAGAGGTGCAAAACAAAGATGAAATGGTGTTGACCTTGGGTTGTAGTCTATGATAGTTGTACTATGTTTCTCCCTCTATCAATAAAATTTTCACTTTACCTTCCAAAAAAAATGATAGTTGCCCTTGGCTTACTTGGGGCAACCTTTGGGTGCTAGGTGTGTCTCAACGATGATTTGGAATCAATAGTGGGGAGCTTTGAAAAAAATGATGGCCTTCTTAGAAAACCTAAGGGAGACAAAATAATTATTATAAAATGTCAATTAGTTAATATAAGTACTTCATTTCTTTGTTTCTTATCCCTATTGAAGTGGTAAACCTACTTGAGAAACCTATAATACTTGAATATCTGTACATGGGTGCTTTATTTTGTTAGTTGCTTTAATTTCTAGTGTAAATTCTCCAGAGCTGTATCCAATCGTGTCCTTGCTGTATTTGGGTAACAGTGAGAAGTTTCAAATGCACTTTCTTGTTTTTTGATAAGTAAATAAATCCTTTTATTAAATTAGAAATATTAACACACACAAGCAGCCCTCAGAGAGGCGCGAGTTGCGATCTCTCCACTAAAGAATGAAACTTTTTAGTCCTGTCRGTCTTACACTTCCCTTTAATGAACGAGGTATGATCAATATGAGATTGCTTATAACCAATTCTCTGGAGAGCATTCCTAAACCTTTCAAACCAAGCTTTAGGAGACCATTTCCATCTGTAAATTAACTTCTGGAGATGACATACTTTCATTTATTTTCTGGTACGTTGATACCTGGATGCAGCCTCATATTTGCCTCCTCATGAAGATCTCCAGTCAGAAAGGCTTTTCTTTTTCTCTTTTCCCATTCAATTGATACAATCGCCAAGCGCAATGATCAGAAAGAGATAATAATAGATGAATTGATTTCATTTCGGCTAAAGGAGCAATGATCTTTTGATATTTAAACCAACAAATCTAAGTGTAGTCCATGACCATGAGTCTGATTTTATACCTTTCCATTGAACCATTAACCTTATATTTGATGATGAACATCTATTTACATTGAGTTGGTTCCTTACCACTAGGAATATTAACTAACTCGCTGGCAGTATTTTTAATGAGAGATTCCATTTTTTGGGTTATTACATCCTAATATTGTGGATATGGCATGTCTTGTGTAATGCTAATAAGCACAGGAAGAAATGAAGTGGCAAAAACAAAGGAACAATAAGAAGAAGACAATGACTCATAAGAAAGAGGTTTGAAAAATATAAGGAGTAGAAAAGTCAATTTGAGTATACTACCTTTTAGGCTTTTACCTTTTACTTTCATTCATAGGGTGGTCAATATCTGAAGGAGGGTAGCTGATCAATAAAAACTTTTTTTTTTTTTTTTTAAACTTTAATTACAATGTTTAAGTGCCTTGCACCCTTTTTAGGTAGCTGGCCTTAGATAACCCGCCCATTACACATTTCCTTAAGTTAGTATTTAACCCCAGTATGTTTCATGTTTGATATCTATATACCCCAGACTTTGCCAAGCCATCAGCTAGGTGGTTAGCTGACCTTGGTGTCCACTTGTATTGAACTCCTATTTTCATTGACAGTCTTAATGTACAAAAGGCCAGAAAGACTATCCAAAAGGCCAGATAAGCCTATCAGAACCTATGCATCACTATGTGTAATAATCTCCAAAACAATCCAGAAAGATCTCCGAGAAGCTTCTCTGTCCATGTCTTCAAACTCTGCCAACTGTAAGAATATACAAGAAGTTATATAGTTCTTTATTTTCTGTGTTATGTATAATTCCTTGTTGTACATGAGCATACTTGTAAATCTCTATGCTCTTTTTAAATACAATTTATACTTAAAACAACCCAGAAGCAGAACCACTTTTCCCTTGAGTGACAGGTCAGCAGTTTAACTATCCAGGTCAAACAAGTCAACTCATGATGTCATAAATCAAATAATAAAAACAGAAAGAATAGAAAATGCAGAAAAATTGGGTGTCTCTAATATTATTTATTCATTCATCACATTAAACAAAAAGAAGTGTGGTGAATGAGAATTATTGTTATTAATGAAGGAAATAGTTAAAAATGCAAAGAAAAAAAAGAGGAAAAAGAGAATTAACTGTGGCCCACTGACTGGGTCAAATGGTTAAGCGGTTTAACTGGCCAAGTAACCGGATTGTTGACTGAGCTCTTTTTTTTTTTTTTTGCAAATAAATGGTTCAAGGGCTAAATGGACCCAAAAATCTGGTGAGTGGTGATGTCATGGACAGCTCTGACTGGTCGGTTCAACCACAAGTTGAAAGCATTTCTTCTAGCATCTTTTTGAAAAAAAAGTTAATTTCTAAAAGAGAAGAACCTGATTTACAAAGGAAAAGAAAGAAATCAAATAAAAGGGGTTATACATTTCTCTTAATACTAAGAAATAACTTGAGGCTGTTTATGTTTTATTCTTCGTAGGTACATGCTTCATTGCCTTTTCTGATCCATCTATTTGCGGTCATTAAGTTGTTCTTTCAGATTCTGTTCTTCACCTTGTTGATAACACTTTTGTTTCCTCATCTAGGTACATGTAATACATGAATGGGCCTGGGCAGGCACTCCAAGTGAAGGTGCTGCTTGGCTCCGTTTACAGAGACTAGCTGATACATGGCATAGGATACTGTTAATACCTGTGACAGGAGGAGTTGTTGTCGGTATGATGCATGGACTACTAGAAATATTTGACCAAATAAGGCAGTCTCGATCTTCTCATAGTCAAGGCATTGATTTGGTGGCTGGAGTCTTCCCAACAATAAAGGCCATCCAGGCTGCTGTAACTTTAGGTACTGGTTGTTCTTTAGGTCCTGAAGGTCCAAGTGTTGATATAGGAAAATCATGTGCAAATGGGTGCTCAGAAATGATGGAAAGCAACAGGGAGAGGCGGATAGCTCTTGTTGCAGCTGGTTCAGCTGCTGGGATTGCCTCAGGTATTCTGGTTTGTCTTTGCTAAACCTTTTTTTGTGGTTCAACAATTTTGATTTCATCATAGTGATTGGAACTTCTTTTTGGTAAGTCTTGAACCCAAAACTATCCCCCTTACACCCCCACAAAGGAGAAAAGTGAATTACAAACAAAGAACCCATATGTTTTCACAATGGTGAAAATTCCTAGTTCAAGAGTGTACGTTGTAGCATTTTTTATTTAACCACCTTCAAATTTTTTACATCTGGGTCTAGGTTGTAGTGGAGCTAACCTTGTAATAGGTTTGGAATGGTGAGATGGTAATTTTTTTTTTAATTATTAAGCAAAAAGGATTTGAAGTTTTGTTTATTTTTAGTTGTTTCTTTTAATTGAGAAGTCAAGTTTTGGAATGGGATGAATACATTGTTCATTATTATTATTATTATTATTATTATTTTGATATCTTATTTCTAGAGTTTTGCAAGGTGATCAGTTATTATGCCTTTTGTTTTGTTATTTAAGGTTATATTGTAGTACACATTTTACATTAGATAATTGGTTCTTTAAGGAAGTGGATTTACTTTTCCTATTAGGTTTTTCTGCAGAGGTCATATATAAGCTACTGCAAGTGTTGTACAGTCCAAATGAAAACTAGGTATTTTGTTTTCTTTCCTAGGCGCATAGGTGAGGCACATTTTAGGGTCTGTACCTCGCCTAGGCCCAGGCACAGCCCCTTTGAAAAGGTGTGCCTAGTGCGCCTAGTTTGCTTTGTGTCTCAGATCAGGCATATACCTCTGTTAAACTTTACACTATTTTGTGCTTCAAAGGCCCAGGTGCTGCCCCTTTGAAAAGGCGCGCACCTAGTGCACCTGGTGTTCTTTGTGCCTTAGCTCAGGCACATATCTTTGTTAAATATTGCATTTTTTTTGTGTTTTTTGAAGCACAGTGGCTGGGCTGGGTGCGGAGCCCCCTGGACCCCAACTAAGCCCCTTCAAGAAAACTCAAGCAATTCCATGTTAGGGTCTTAAATTATTAAGTCCTACAAAAATGGTTCTATAATTTTAATTATCTTTTTCAAAAAAGTTAGCTTTTAGGAAATATCTTTTATTAGGAAGAATGAAATGAACAATATTAGCAAGTAGGGGGTTTTCGGAACTTTGCCTCAAGGGGCTTGGTACAAAGGTGGCTTGTAGAATTAGGAGTGAGACATGTTTAACTTCATGTTATCTATTTGAAATAGTGCACTAATTCAATTAGGAAAGAAATGAAGAAATTGAAAGTTTGACATACTTGAATATGTTTGATTTTACTGTTTGCATTTTCAATTTGAATATGTTTTATATGTTATGGTTATGTATTTTAATTTGAGCTAATAAAGCTTTTTTAAGTATTTAGTTTAAAATTGAAGTTTGCATTTTTAATTAACATTATTTAAATATTTTCTTAACTTATTATTTTTTTACATTTTTTACAATTTTTGTTTGTTTGTTTGTTTATTTTTTTAATTTTGCACACTGCTTCGGAATGGTGCACACCTCAAGCTTCAGGCGCAAAATGCCCTTTGCACTTTTGTCGTGCCTTTGCTTTTAAAACACTGGCCTCAGGTTGATTACTTCTGTTGGAATAGATAGGCGGAGGTAGGCTAGATATGCCCTTTGCCCTTTGCACACCTCTGTCTTTTATGTTGGCACCTCTGTCAGGGGTTGAAGGAAAGGAGTTTTGTCTCATATGTATTCATTCATTTATTTATTTTTTGTTTTTAAATCTGATATGCTAGGGTTGTGGCTTACTTCCTGTTTTGCATGCTTTCTTGGTTTATCCCTAGGGCCCAGACCTAGCTTCTCTAGGTAGGCTAGATAACTATACCATACATCTTTTTGTTGAGGAAAGCAACTTTTACCAACCTGAACCAATGTCACTTGTTTAGTCTTCTTTCATAATCAACTATTATGAATTGAGAAACCAGAGAGATTGCCCTGACTGAAGCCAATCTCTGCTGGAGTTTGGCTTCTGTCAGGGCAATGCCTGTTCGAGCAGCCTTTACAGCCTTGCCTTGGGAATATCTCCCTCCTCATGTGCTTTATTTCATGGGGAGATATTCCCGATGCAAGGTTGCAAGAGGCTGTTGGTACCAGTTGACATTGGGCCTCTAATATTGGGCTGTGTCATGGTGCATTTTGTGTTTGACTTTCTAACACAAAATGCCATCATCTCTAACCACACCTCCAATACCCATAGCCCCTGGGTTGCCTAAGCTGCACCCATCAAAGTTTGACTTTCTATCTCCTTACTCTTGGACCCTACGTTTTACTGTTCATTTCTGTCTTCTAGCTGAAAGTTCCACTACAATCTGCCAACACCACATTAATTTGTCCATGGTGACCGTTAAATCCTGCACATGATAATATCCAATGAATGCAAGAATTTTTGAGGAAAACAGCATAGGGGTGGACAAATTATTGAACTCGCAACTTCTAGAATTGCATCTTGTGTAATGGTTTATGATGAGTTCAAAGGAGTATCAATGAATGAATTATTAAGAAATTGGTAAATAGTTGCTTCCTATCAAAGAGCTGAAGCACAATGAAGGGAACAATGGGGGGCATCTGCATGGGAAAGGTTGACATTCAATTATGATGGATGCAGTTTAGGGATCTAGGAGTATTGGGAACTGGAGTAATTCAAGACTGCAGCATCACATACTTCTGAGCTTTTCAAGTAGAATACTAGAAGTGCAAATAGCCTAGAAGATGGGGGTGAGCCTTGGTGCAATGGTTGGGTTGCTCCATTGCAACTTGGGTGACCAGGGTTCAAATCTTGGAAATAGCCTCTCTGTATGTGCAGGGGTAAGGCTGTGTACATCTGTCCTACCCAGACCCCGCATTGGTGGGAGCCTCAGACACTGAGCTGCCAAAGATCCTGGCAAATGAACTAGTTAAAGCTTGACCGGTTAAAGAGTTCTTGGATTAGGTAGAACCAAGGCCATGACTTACTTTGATGAAGAGGAAGTTAGACAAGCGTGTTCTCCATGGATAGAAGGTCCAGGTCCAAATGGATTTATCGTGGCTTTTTATAAAGATTTTTGGGAAATAGCTAAGGTGGATTTGCTTAAAGTTTTCAAGGAATTTGAAGATAGAGATGTAATCATCCCTAGAGTTAATGCCACCTTCTTAGCTCTTGTTCCTAAAAAGATTGATGCTAAACACCCTAAAGATTACAGGCCTATTAGTTTGGTGACTAGCATTTATAAAATCTTGGCAAAGGTGTTGTCTCTGAGGATTAAAGTGGTTCTACCATCCCTCATTTTTCAAGCTCAAGGAGCTTTTGTACAAGGCAAGCAAATAACTGATCGAATTTTAATAGCCAATGAGTGTGTGAAGGGTTTGATGAAATCTGGAGGTTAAGGTTTTGCTTGCAAATTGGACCTTGAGAAGGCATATGGTTTGGTGGATTGGAGTTTCCTTTTAAAGGTACTTAGGAGTTATGGGTTTGGGGAAAGATGGTGTAATTGGATTTTTGGTTATCTCACTGTAGTTCACTATTCTGTGTTGGTTAATGGATTGGTAAAGGATTTCTTTCCAGCTTGCAGGGGTTTAAGACAGGGTAATCCTCTCTCTCCTTTCCGTTTTACACTGGTGGCAAATGTGCTTAGTGGTAGGAAGATTGGCAGAAGTAGTGTTTAAGTGACTCATCTACAGTTTATGAATGATATTATATTTTTTTTTTTTGTGCGGGAAGTGATTTGAGCTATGTGGTGGGTATCAATTTGGATGATAGGAAGGTTGAGTCTATTGCAACATGCTTAGACTGCTCTATTTCTTTTTTCCCCCCTGACCTACTTGGCTTACCTTTTGGGTGCGAATCCTAGGGAAAGTTGCTTTTGGAATTCAATTCTAGAAAAATTTGGAAAAAGATTGGCAGCATGGAAAAGAATTATATTTCTTTGGGGCAGAGGGTAACACTTATTATTCACTGTTTGGAAAAAGAATTATATTTCACCTCATGTTTGTTGCCTTTGCAAAGCTAGTAGAGAGAGTATCTGCTATTTGTTTATTCATTGTACTTTTGTACTTTGTGTTTGGGAGCATTTCTGTTCTCTTTTTGGTCGCAGGTAGACTCCTCCCTAGGATGTAGTGGGTCTCTTTGATCCAAACTCCTGAGACAGTCAAAGAAGAGAGGAAGGCTTCTGTGGAAAGCAATGAGAGCAATCTGATTTGGACTATTTAGGAAGAAAGGAACGGGAGGATTTTCATTGAAAAGTGTAGATCTGAGTTGGACATCATAGAATAAGATAAAAGTTGCAAATTGGATAAAATCCTTGGAAATCTTCCATGATTTCTTCTCCTTCAATGACATTTTGACATCATGGAAGTGGGAATCAACTCAAGAGAAAGAAAGGGTGGTTATGGAATGGAGACTGCCAACACCTAATGCTGTGAAACTAACTTTTAATGGAAGTTTCTTGGGAAATGAAGGGCTAGATTAGGGGGTGTATTCCGAGGTACAGAAGGTGAGATACTAACACTTTACACGGTCCTATAGAAGAAGGAGAACCACTGACAGCAGAGTTAATGGCCTTGCTTCAAGGGTTGAAACTTGCAAAATAGTTTGGTTTTCAAAGGTGTGGAAGGGGACTCTCAGGTGGTTATTTCTTGGACAAAATTTCATAGTCAAACTCCTTGGGTTTACAAGAAAAGAATCATGGAAATTGAAAGGTTAACAAGGGAATTGAGTGTTACTTTTAAATGGGTGAGATGAACTGCAAATGTCTTGTAAGATGCTTTTTAGCTAAACACGGGGCAAATGGGCAGCACTTATGACTGCAATTCCAGTTGTATTTGTTTAGTCCTATGGTTGTGGGAGATTACTCACAGAATTGTCATCTTAAGTTTTATATAATGCTTATTAAAATTTACCTTTGCTGATAAAAAAAGGGTAACTCTGATTAGGGCTACGCTTGCCAATCTACTGGTGTACTTCCTCTCTTTTTTTAGGATTCCCTCTAGGGAGGCTAAGAAATTAGAAATTGATGAAAGTTTTTCTGAGAACGGGGTTTGGGATTAGGGAACTTGGTTCTTAAGAATGAAGCTTTACTAGGGAAGTGGTTGTGGAGATGGCCCTTGGAGAGAGAAAGCTTGTGGCATAACGTTGTGACTTGTATTCATGGTTGTTCTGAATCTGGTTAGGATGCTAGAGTATCTTGTCGGGCTACCTTAACAACATCTTAGGAAAGCAATACATGGCGTACTTCCCAAATTTCTCCAGTTTGCAAGGTATGATGTCTATTCTGGAAATTCAGTTCTCCTTTGGGTACATACTTGGGTGGGTAATGTACCTCTAAAAGAACTCTTTCCTTCTATTTATTCTAGTTCCCTTTATAAAAAAGAGGTTGTCTCCAAATTTCTCTCCCCCCTCCCCAGTCCTCCCTTTGTCTTTGAATTAGGACTTTGGCTTTCATAGAGGTTTGAGGGTGGTTGAGTTTGATTGCGTTTTTGAGTTGTTACTTTCCCTTAGCAATGTTTGTTTGCACCCTTTGAAGTTTGATAGAAGGATTTGGGCCCCTGTTCCAAAATGTTCTTTTACTTGTGCCTCCTTTTTCAAATCTTTGTTCCTTGGACTTTCCCTACGAAAGAAGTTTGGACTAAGCTCTCCCCAAAATTGTTGTTCTTTGCTGGGAAGTGTGCTATGGTAAGATTAATAATTTGGAGAACGTGCAAAAGAACATGCCTTTTTTTGTGCTTATCCCAAACTGATGTTTTCTGTGCAAGGTCCATAGCGAGGACTGCTACCACTTTCTGATTTCTTGTTCCTTTGTTGCAACTCTATGGAAATAGATGTCTATTTTGTTTGGTTGTAGGGGGAGCTTGCCAACAGACACAAAATTGCTGTTTAGTTTGTCTACCTTTGTTTGGTCCACAGAAAGAGGGAGAATCATTTGGAGATGTTTGAAAGTAGCTACCTTGTGGACTATCTGGGAAGAGAGGAATGCTAGAATATTCCAAGACAAGGAGAGAACATTTTCAATAGTGAAGGAGTGTATTTTAAGTAGGGCTATCCACTGGCTGAAAACCCTGGACTCCTTTAATTCCTTTTCTTTTGATGACATTTGAAGAAGTTGGTCTGTAGTAGTTAATACTTCTTTTAAGACAAATGGAACTTTAGCAGTTTGGACTCCACCTCCGAAAGCGTTTACTAAGCTGAATTTTGATGGGAGAAGTCAAGGCAATCTAGGACTGTTAGGCATAGGAGGGGTTTTGAGAAATGAGGATAGTAACACCATATCCTTGTTTTCAGGCCTGGTGGGGATAGGTGATTCCACAAGGGCTGAGTGATTAGCTGCAGTACAAAGGATTCGGATTGCCAACCAACTTGGGGTGGAGAATCTACTAATTAAAAGGGACTCTAAGGTGATTGTGGGATGGTTGTTGGACCTAGATTCTGTCATTTGGTGTTATAGGGATCTTATAAAAACAGTTAAATGGTTAACAAGGCACATGACAATTAGAGTCCAATGGGTGGGTAGGTCAGCAAATGCTTTGGCTGATTCTTTTGCTAAACAAGGGTCTTCTCGGGAAGTGTTATTTTGGGCGGCTTTGTAATATTTCTTTTTTGAGTATATGTAACCTTTGTTTTTAGGAGAGGTTGCTCCTCACGCCTCTCCAAGGGATGCTTGTAAAAGTTTATTCTCTTTGATTAATGAAGTTATTATTCAATTAGAAATACATATAAAATATTATATTATAAAAAATAACATATTATATATTATAAATAATAAAATATATATAAAAATATATAATATACATAAATATATGTATAATATATATAAATATATATACCGGTTGGTTCGGTTAACCACCAGTATTTTATATTGGTTAACCAAAACTGAACCAGTAGCTTCAGTTTAAAAAATTCTGGTTAACCAAATCAGTCGGATCGGTATTTTTGAAAAACTGAAGCTATCGGTTCAGTTTCGGTTAACCAATATAAAATACTGGCGGTTAACCAAACCAACCGATATATATATTTATATATATTATACATATATTTATGTATATTATATATTTTATTATTTATAATATATAATATGCTATTTTTTTATAATATAATATTTTATATGTATTTCTAATTTTTATTATATATTTATATATTTATTTAAATATATTTTATAAAGTCAAAAAAACTGAAAAGTCGATGAGCTGAACCGACAGCCAAACCGATCGGCTTTGGTTTAGTTTTGGTTACCAGTTTTCCAAAAACCGGTACTACCGGTTCACTTTGGAATTTAGGCCCACCGTGAGCACCCCTATATTTATTTCATCCTATAGGCTTCACAATATTGCAACCTTTCAATGCCACATTAGTTTTTGCCTCTTTGTATGACAAGGAAACGAATGAGAGAAAATTAGGTCATTGACATTTGTTTCTATTGGCCATGATGCCCCAAAGAGAGATAAAGCGGTTTTATACTATAGATGCATACAAGATAACAAGAGATGATTAATACATTCCCCATTCTTAGAGGATGCACACATGAGGGGATAGATGCCAAGACTTCTATTTTGTAGCATCTCACAAAGCTTGATAATTTGTAGTACAACCTCTAGACCTGTTCATGGGCTTGGGCTGGGCTTTCACTTGTCATTAAGGGAAATATGCTAGGCTCGAGCCTGAGCCTGGCCCGACCAACATGCCTATAACTTGGGCCCGAGCCCGGCCCTGATAAAAAGCCCGAAGCCCGAGCCCGAAGCCCGACCTAATAAAACAAAAACAATTTTCCCTATTCAAATTAGAATTAAAAATTCAGATAGTTTTTTTTTCCTATTTAAATGAACAATGGGCCTACAAGATGGTTTTTTCCCCTTTCTGTTGTATTTTAAAACACAGTTTTATATTCTTAAATCAAAAAATTTATTCAAATGGGCATAATCACATTACTCACTTTAAGTCTAATATTAGGTCGGGCCGGGCCGGGCCGGGCTCGGGCTGAGCTATTTTGACAAAATTTGAGCCCGGCTCGAATTTATTGCGGGTCGGGCTTTTTGGCCTGAATTTAAGCCCGTGGGCCTATAACCACGTTCAAGCCCGTCCGGGGACCGGGGGCCAGCCCGGCCCATGAACAGGTCTAACAACCTCCCAACAAGAAGCTTTAACCTCAAAGGAGAGGGATTTTCCAAGATGGCTTTAATAGGGAAAGGTTGGAGAGGTGTATTGATCTGATGAAGGGTTCTAAAGAAAGAAGCATAAGAAAAGGAACCACAAGAATCTGGACTCTAATTTCTTTTATCAACCTTGGAGGCTTGGATGACAGAGAAAAACAAGTTTTAGGTCTTCTAAAAGGTTCAAAAGCTTCAAAATCTCTAAAAGCCCTTGTCAACCCCAGGTTTGTAGATAAACCCCTAAGCCCCAACTGAGAAGAAACATCATCAGCAATGATTTTATTTTTGCAATTGGAGAAAGTAAAAGATTCTTGGGTAGGTTGGACACAAAGGATGATCTCCTTCCTCACTCCTTATCAACCCCAGGTTTCTTTATTTGCATATTTTCCTTTACCTTGAACAATTCATAATTTGGGATGTTTTCTACCAAGAAACTTCAATATGTGTATTACATGTGAATTTACTATCTTTCCAGGTTATTTTCATGTTCCAATACCCAAGCTAAGCTGCTGGATCATAGTGAAGAATGGCTGAAAACTTAGAACAGTAGGAAGAAGAAACATCAAATCAAACTTCATCATAAAAAAAAAAACATAATTGAATATGTGAGAAATTAGAATAATAGCAAGAAATTTCTCATTCGTCATCATAGACTTAGAAGCAAAAAAAAAAAACAAAAGACTACAATACCTCCACTTGTGTAGACTTGGATTTTCTTAAGACTGTGTTTGGTTGCAGTGCAATTTTATTTGCACTAATACAAATGTATGGGACTGCAAATGAAAAAAATGCAAATTTTGGTTCAATTTTGTTTTGGATTTTACTTTATTCTGCTTTGGGTCTTATTTTACTTCATTTTTACTGCAATCAAACAAAGTAAGGTAAAATTTGAAAAAAAAAATCAAAACTTGCACCCAAATCATTTGCACTACCATAGTTTTGCATCAGTGCAAATGAATTTGCACTGCAACCAAACACAGTCTAAGGAAAAAAACAAAAACCACTACCTGTGCAAACACAGTATTTTGGGATTATGGCTTCATATCGTCAATCCCGTGAGTTACTTGGAGGCAAAGACATGGTCATGCTTGTCTCGACCCAAATGCTTTGTCCCAAGGATCAATACCAAGTTGAGTTTGATTTATTTGAATGAATAGATTTCTGAACTTTCAATTTTAGGAGTGAGGTACCATTTTCTAAATCCTTTACTTTCATATATAATTGTCTTGTATTCTTTTATGTATTTCTATTTTCTACTTTTAACATTGTGAACCATTTATAATCCTCAGAATATTTTCTTTTTTTTTTTTGTGGATATGATCCTTGATATTCCCTTTTGGATTTTCAGGGTTTAATGCACCAGTCGCTGGTTGTTTTTTTTCCATTGAAACTGTATTAAGACCACTTCGTGCAGAAAACTCTCCTCCATTTACAACTGCAATGATAATATTGGCATCTGTTATATCATCCACTGTATCCACCATTTTACTTGGAGAAAGACCAGCATTTACAGTGCCCACGTATGATCTGAAATCTGCTGCTGGTATTTTATCTTATTCTAACCAACTGAGCTTTAGAAATGAGAACATTAATTTTTGGTTATCAGGCAATGGTTTGATGGATAATATCAAAAAGTGGAATGCTTAAACATCTTGTAGAAAACTTTTGCTTTTATGTGATTGACTGTTTCTATGTATATATGTTTATGCATGTTTGTTCATGGTATAAATGTTTAAATGTTTCTCAATATTTTCATGAAATGTTTACATTTGACCATTTCTATAGGCACCACCGACATAAAGGGCTTCAACTTAGATGTACATGGATATCCAAATAATTTGCTTTAATCAAATTTTTAAAAAGTGACCCTGAAACAGAAGCTCTTTTCTTTATGGGTTGTCCATATGCATTTCAACCATCCAGATCAAATGGGTTAGCCTGTGACATCATAAATCAAATAATAAAAATATAAAAATAGATAAAATGCAAAAAATTGGACATATCTCTAATATTTATATATTCATCATATTAAACAAAAACGTTTGATAAATGACAATTGTTGTTATTAATGATGGAAATAGCAAAAAATTAAAAAAAAAAATCAAATAAAAACAGAACCTGTGACCCACTGGCCAGGTCAAATGGATCAGTGGTTCAACCTTCTTGGTCACTGGGTTATTCACTGAGTCAATGTTTTTTGCAAGTAAACAGTTCGAGGGGTAAACTGACCTAGAAACGGTTGGGTGATAGGTTGACCAGTCCAACCAGTAGGTTGAACCATGGGTTGAAAACATTGGTTTTAATATGATTCTTTTCTCTTCAAGGTTTTAAATATTGACATGATACACCCAATACAGGGTGTCTTGTATTGGTTTCAGACCAGGTGGGCATGTGGCATGGGTGGATAAGGAACTTTTTCTAAAATTCCACCCATGCCCACACCATATCACTTGGTATCACATTGTACCGGCTTATATGCTATACAGTGCAATATGCAATGATACAATTTGAAATTCAAATTTTGTGCCATATTCACATGCATTTAGGGAGATTTGAACCCAGGTCATCCAAATCTGAAGTATGCTCTATGACCACTAGACCATCTTCCTATCTCATGCTAAGAAGTGAAATAAAATAAGTCTTATTTTATTTAGTGTCCTCATATAATCCAAATAAAAGCAAAAGGCCTGTATGTGGATGTGTTATCCTTTCAAGGAATGGTATCCACACGATGACACTTCCTCACATGTGGGGTCAAAGGCTATTCTGGTCTTTTTACCTTTCAGTCTCTCTCTCTCTCTCAAACCCGATCTCTCTGCATCGCTTCCATTGACCGCTGCCACCAGCCATTGCAACTTTCAATGGTAATGGAGAGGGGACAGGGGTTGGTTCAATTAGTTCCCCTCATCAGCCCCTGCATCTGCTAGTTTACATTAAATAACAACATATTCATTATTTGCAAAACTATTTGAGAATTTAATATTAAGTTGACTTTTTTGTTAATATTAAAGTAAAATAATAAAATAGAAAGTAATTGATTTAGTAATTAAAATATAATAGTCCATATGATTTGTGTCTTGGATCTTCCACATTCTTATGAGTCTAATATATGTTTTAGGTTGATTATATATTTTTGTAGTTATTAATTGGTAATTGACTTAAATAAATAATAACATAATAATGGCTTCATACGTGTAGTAATTTGTAAGAATCTATACAATGTGTTTATTGAACTCTTAAGTGTTGCATTATCAATAATTTGTAAGAATCTATTTTGATTGTAATGTATATCTTCATATGTACTATTAAAATATGCATTTCCTATGTATTTATACCTTTTTTGTGGTTATTTCAACCTTAAATTTAGTGTTATTAATGTATTTGTGGAATTTATAGGAGTTTCCCTAATTTATCCATCATATCCATATATTTCCACTGTACTCATGTGTTTTTAAAGCATATTCGCATCCGTATATGTATCCAAGCTTAATAATATGATACTCGATACTGATATTTTGAACCTTGTTTTTCTTAATTATACACAATTTAAGAAAATACGGTCAATGTTTTCAAAATTTTAAACTCTTAAGAAAGAACAAATAATATAATAGCAAACAATCTGAAAAATAAATAATATAATAGCAAACAATCATCATCATCATCATCATCATCGTCGTCATCATCTAAGCCTTGTCCCAACCATATGGGGTTGGTTGTCTACATGAATTCTATTTCACCATTGTGTTCAGTCTAGTGCCATATTTGTTGTTAAATTGCGAGTGATTAAATTGTTCACTGCTACTTCAAACCACGTCCTTTTTGGTTTTTCCTTTAGCCCTTCTAGCACCTTTAGCTTGCAACAAACAATCTCTTATGGATGTTGTAGATGATCTTTAATGCACATGACCAAACTATTTTAGTATATTTTCTCTCATTTTATCACTTATTGGAAGTTGAAATCACTTTTAAGTTCCCTCAAATGATTTTTTTAACTTATTTTTTCGACATGTTGTTTCTATTGTCCAATACTCTGCTCCATAGAACAGTGTTGGCCTTACAACCATTTTATAGAACTTCTCTTTTAACCTAAGTTGTATTTGCCTATCACATAAGACTTCAGATGCACCTGTCAATTTTGCCCATCCTTTTCTAATTCTAAGGTGACCTCCTCAATCTCTCCCTTGTTATGAATTATCTGACCAAGGTAGCAAAAGATATCATATTATCTCTTGGTCTCCAATCATAAGGGTACCCTCATTTTATTAAATTTAAATAGCATATATTCTATTTTAGTCCTTATTTTAAAACCTCTTGTTTCTAAGGTATTTGTCCATAAACTTAATTTTGCATTTTGTCCTTCGTTAGTTTCATCAACTAATACAATGCCATTAACAAATTACAAGCACCATTGGATCTCCTCTTGAATATGTTCCAAATCATCTATGATCAGTGCAAATAAATAAGGACTGAGTGCTGACTCTTGGTGAAGACCTACCATAACTATAAAATCTGATGTCTCTCTCATAAGTGTTCTGTTTTGACATTGGTTATTAGGGCTGTTCATAAGAAGACCCATCCCGACCAAACCAACTTAGTAGTTAGTAGTTAGTTCGTAGTTAGTAGTTACAACCTACTTAGTTCCTACTTAACTAAGTTGTCTCTATCCTAGTTACAACCTAACTTAATTTCTAGTCTTCTAGTTAGGAATGACATTAATGGCAAGTATTGTAAGACAACTAGACAAGGAATTTTTTTGGAAAAGTTTAAAGAAAAGAATCGAAGGATCCTAATTTCTATGGTCTTTTACACCAAATAGGCAACCAATTACAATTATAATTAGGTGTCCCTTTTTACTTAGATTAGAAGGTTTCTTGAAATATACAAATTTCAGTCTTTCTCTAATACAGTTTGACTTTCTATTTTCTTGATAACTTCTATTCTAACTTGGTCCGCCCCCCTTAGCCCCTCAACTCAAGCACAATCTTTAATACATTTGACTCTCAAGCATGGTTGAACTTAGAGTCGAAACCGACCCAACCCGACTCAAACCGACCAGGTCAGTTTTGCTTAACATAGGGTCGGTTTCGGTTTCAATTTTAAGTAACCCGACCAGGTCGGGTCGGTTGGAAAAATCTCAGTAAACCGACCCAACTTGACCCATGAACAGCCCTATTGGTTATTGAGCCTTCATACATATCCTTAATTAAGTCCACATTCTTATTTGGAATTGCTTTCTTTTCCAAAACCCACAACATTATCTCTCTAGGGACTCTATTATATGCTTTCTCTAGATCAATGACACCATATGAAGCTCTCTCTTCTACTCTCTGAACTTTTCTATCAATCAAGTTCAAAAGAAAAATAGCTTGCATGGTTGATTTCCCTAGAATAAACCCAAATTGGTTCTTTGATATATTTGTTTCATGTGGTGACCTTTGGTCAATATGTAGATCATAATTTTTATTTTAGGTAAGGAATAACAGAATAATGTGGATGATATGGCACTCATAGAATGGAATGGCAAAACATGATTCATATAGCCTATCCCATATGGTTGGGATAAGGCTTGGTCTGCTTGGATAATGATGATAATGATGGCATAAAAGAATAATTTTTATAATTACAATAGCTGTTCTAGATTCAAAGAACAAAATTTTCTAATCTTGTAGGAAGAAAGAGCTTGGTCATTGCATGTTCTAGATTGTGCTTGTGCATTCCATCACTTCAACTACTATCCCTGCAATTTGGTGTTTCTATTCCCTCATTTCTTTCTTATATTTTTCTTTTTGAATGATGCTATACTATATTTAAACACATGGGGGAACAACCTTGTGTACATATTTCATTGACTAAACTCTCAACAAAATGTTAACATAATTTGGTAGATGATCAAGGGCTATGCAAGGGATAGAACACTAGTTAGAACATACTGGGTGATGCAGGATCATCCAGCCCATCTTAAGGTCTGATAGGCCTAAATTAAAAGCCCATGAGAAACAATGAAGGTCATAAATTTGATCCTTTCTATTATTGTGTGCTTCTAAAAGGCACACCTAGGTTTATATATGAGGCTTGTTTTGTAGGATGTTTCTCACCTGGCTTGTTATGAAATTTTATGATTTTTTTTTTAATTTGAAATGCCCCATATTTAGAATTTTTGGCTTGGTCAGAGTTGCCCTAAATGCATTTATTAGTAGGTGTTATAACATATGATATATTATTGCTATAAAAGAAATAGCTTGTAATATATATCATTTTAATCTTATTTTGATACAAAACAGCTTTAAGAGAAAATCTTAGAACCATCTACTATCTTTTTTTTTTTTTCATTTTTTCACATTTTTTTATTTGAGTTAGTCAAGGAGTTGCCTGGGCAGTTGGACCATTTCACTCATGACTCAATGACCAAAATGGTTTTACGTCTGGTCGAAGTCTTACAACACTGGATATAAGCTCTCTTTACCTAAGGATATGATAAGAAATGTCTCATGTCAAAGTTATCAATGATTAAACCATCAAGCAACATGGCTCACCAATTGTTGGACCTTCCAGTGCTTCTTCGAATGGTTAAATGGACCAGCAATTTTGTCAATCCCTTCATGCACATGCCTCACCTCCTATATGGGAATCAAACAATATGGTTGCCTCTTATAAGGATAGGAAAGTGAGTAAAGGGTAAAGATGGATTTTGAACCCAGGCATTTAACATTTGGCATATAACATTTTTTTATCAATATTTGGTATATAACATTGATGTACTTTTTTTTGTTTAACAAGTTAGCACCTTCATGCCCACAGGTGCTCATGTACTTAGTATACATTACACAAATAGGCGTAATTTAGACTGTATCAGAAATGCATGTAATGGAGCACAGTTGCTGACTTTGTGTGAATATGGAAATTAAATGGTGTATGGTCATGGATGTTATTTTAATAGGACACTTTGTTACATAGTCCTGAAATCTATTCTGGTTGGTTTGGCAAGTATATGCAGATGGAGGTAAGTTTTCTCTACATTTCCCCTTCAGAAATCTGACTGCATGGTTTATACACACTTCTTGCAGAACTACCTCTCTACTTGATACTGGGTATGTTATGTGGAGTAGTAAGTGTAGCCTTCACCCGCCTAGTGATTTGGTTCACCAAGTCATTTGAATTCGTCAAGGAAAGATTTGGCCTTCCTGCTGTTGTCTGCCCTGCTTTAGGTGGTTTAGGAGCTGGGATAATAGCTCTGAAGTATCCTGGAATACTGTACTGGGGTTTCACAAATGTCGAGGAAATTTTACACACAGGGAAGAGTGCTTCAGCACCTGGAATCTGGCTCTTAACACAACTAGCTGCAGCCAAAGTTGTAGCCACAGCACTGTGCAAGGGATCTGGGCTTGTAGGTGGCCTCTATGCTCCAAGCTTGATGACTGGTGCTGCTATTGGTGCTGTATTTGGTGGTTCAGCTGCAGAACTTATAAATTCAGCCATTCCGGGAAATTCTGCTATTGCCCAGCCACAGGCTTATGCACTTGTAAGTTTTCTTATTTTGGTTAAATCAGGTTGTCTTATCCAGTGATTTAAAAGGCACACCTGAGGCGCGCCTAGGTGCACAGGCAAGGTGCATTTTAGGGTAGGCGCCTCACCCAGGTCCTAGGTGCAGGCCTTTCAAAAGGCGCATTCCTGGTGCACCTAGGCATGCGCTTGATGCGCCTTGTGCCTCAACCCAGGCATGTGCCTTTTGAAAATTTGACACTTTTTTACTTTTTTTGAACTTAACATTACCCCCTATTTAGTAATGCTGTTCATTCGTTCGTCCTAATAAAATATCTTCTTGAAAAGCAATTAAAATTATAAAATCATTATTTTTTATATGAGAATTAAGAATTTAAGACCCTAACATGGACTTGTTTGGGCTTGTCTCAAGAGGCGTGGCACAAAGGCGGCTCATAGAATCAGGAATGTAATATACTTTACATCACATTAGCTAATTGAAGTAATGTAATTGAGGAAAAAAAGGTTGTGGGTTTTACATGCTTGAAAATGTTTTATATGTTTGAATTTATTTTTAAATTCTCATTTGAATATGCTTTACATGTTATGTTTATGTATTTTAATTTTAGATAATAGGTTTTTTAAAACATTTATTTAAAATTTAGGTTTATATTTTTTATTAATATTATGTTTACTTTTCTATTTTTTTGAATTTTTTGGCATTTGTTTTTATTTTTGTGCCTTGCTTCAAAAAGGTATGCGCCTTGCCTTGTGCCCTGCACCTTTTTTGTGCCTTGCGCTTGTAAAACACTGGTCTTATCTCACATTTATCCACTGCTTTTGTAATCACTTTGATGGCATAAATTTTGACCCTCAGAAATTGATGCATCTTAATGCAGGTAGGAATGGCTGCTACTTTAGCCTCAGTTTGTTCTGTACCCTTGACTTCAGTTCTACTGCTGTTCGAGTTGACAAAAGATTACAGAATCTTGCTTCCGCTCATGGTATTTTTTCAATCCTCAGTGAATGCATGGAAGTAATGTCCCACCATTTTGCTCTGTCAAATTGTTTATTTTTCTTACCACTTTGGCTCGCATTTTCTTTGGTCTTTCCCATGCTACTTTAAGGCTTCCACTCATTTCAGATTAAAGAAACTATTATAACTCCTAATCTGTTTAAGCAATTTTTACCAGAAAAAAACTGTTTAAACAATAACTTCAAAATTTTAAACATAAGCTAACTATGACCAGACAACCTCTAGGCTAAATTATGCCTGATAGATCTGTAAAATGAAAGCAAAAAAATGCATTAAAGTTCTGGGAACCTCATTTCTAACCAATTAGTTCCTGCATCACTGGTCTTCGTTTTTGAATGATTCTTTTTTCATTTTTGTTGAAGTTCTGTGTGCCATGAAACCTACCAATATTGTTGTTTAATTCTCTTTCGTATGCTTCTATTTCACAAACAGGGGGCTGTTGGATTAGCAATATGGGTGCCCTCTATAACAAACCAGCCGAAGGAGACAGATGTGTCTGATACACGAGGACCAGCACGAGGCTATTCTCCTCTTTCACCTGTTGAAGACAAAAATGAGGCTATCTGGAGGCGAACTGATGGTGGAAATGATTTTGAACTCTCTTCCATTGCAAATGTTGTTGGTCATGAAATAGATAATGAATATATGCTTTTGGATGACCTTAAGGTTTGATCTTTCAAAGTTCCTTTTACTGGTTACCAGTTAAAATATTAAGTTGATTGGGTTGTTTCATATTTGATCACTTATGTTGTTCAATCCTAGACTAGATTTTAGTTAGCCCACAACAGATTAATCTGTTTCCTGATATTGAAACATTTAAGTAGACTTCCAATATTCTAGTCTTCGTGCTGGTTTTCAGGTCTCTCAAGCAATGTCAAAGGACTATGTGAAGGTTTCACCATCAACCACCTTAATTGAGGCAATCAAACTTATGCATGACTGCAAACAAAATTGTGTCCTTCTGGTTGATACTGAAGATCTTCTTGATGGGATCCTTACTCTTGGGGATATCAGGCGGCATGAGTCTAAGATATCTTTGGATGTTCAAAAGGGGGATTCCACCACTTTGGATGTATGTACTATTGAAGTTTTCAATCTTCATGAATTATGATGATGTTGGGATATGCATACAATCTTGCTTTATCATATTATCTAACCGATTTATTGTCTTTCTTAAGAAATAAGCTCATTGCTTGAAAAGAAAAGGCCATTACACAATGTTGGTCCAGCTATCTGGGGTCTTGGGAGGGGTAGACTGGGTATGGTCCTAACATTTGACTTGTTTTGCACAAAGTGGCCACTTCAAGATTGAAAAGAATAAGAATGTACAGAAAATTACAAATGCAATTGCTGCTTTATAGCGTGGCACACACTATCCAGTACAATATTCCAGTTAAATACAAAACCCCTTTTACAGCCGTACCAAAATATCTTTTACTGCTGAAGAGCAGTCAATGATGAAGCTACTAGCATTGGCTTAGAAACAAGGCAGAGATTTTTCCATCCTTTGAAAATTATGTTTTCCTTTCAGTTCAAATGCTGCAACAATATGGAATTAGCCTAAGCTTAGGGTTTTAGATGATTTTTCGCATCTGCTTAGAGCTAGCTTCTGATTTTTCTTTTTAGCTTTGGACTTCCATGGGTGTATTTGTTTTTGCTTTTCTGTTTTCTCTTCTTGTGACTCTCTTTCTTCTGTTCTATTTTCCTTTTTTCCCCATCTTAATATTTTTCATGATCTTGTAACCCATATTGAACCACCTTTAGAAACCAAAGACAAGGCCTAGAGGAGATTCTCCAAGTGAAGATAGAGCATCTTAATGGAAAACGATATTATTTCATGGTGTTGGAAGTCTTGAATGTAGATTGATATTAGTACTGGTTCATTTCCTTCCCAAAAATGGGGTTTGACTATGATATGGAAAAGATATGATATCTGAAAAACAACTAACCAATAAACCAGAATCATAAACGTGGTAGGGAACATGGTGTTATTTATCAAGATTCATGGGTGGGTTTTAATTGGTCAAAACTCTTTCCATACCATATCTTTTCTGCATCATAGATTTTCCCTATTCACATAGAACTTTAGTTCCATTTCTCTGAATATAATTTTTATTGTTTTTTCTTTTACTTTCCAAAGGATGACATGTTGACTTTTTAAACACTTGCCAGGTTGATGCATCCCTTGTTTCATCCGTCTGTACTAGAGTAATACACTATCGTGGACGTGAATGTGGACTCTTGACTTGTTATCCAGACACAGATTTAGCCCTAGCCAAGGAACTGATGGAAGCCAAAGGAATCAAACAGTTGCCTGTGGTTAAGCGTGGTGGAGAGCTGAGAAAAGAATGGAAGCGTAAAGTCATTGCTCTTGTTCATTATGATTCAATCTGGCGCTGTCTCAGGTTAATATCAATTTAGATGTCTACATTGCGATATTCTGTTTCCTTGTTTCTCTTGGTTCTATTTGATTAATGCATAGTTTGCATCAATCTCAATCATCTCCATCTGGATTAGTTATATTTTGTTCAATCTAGATGCCTTCTTTTAATGTTTTTTTTTGAAGCTTTTTTATGTTTCATGAAGTGAAACATGAGATGACAAATTCATGCCTTGACTTACGTTACTTTATTTGATATCCAAGCACTATTTAAAAGTCAAAAGCTGTTACCTTATTCATAGTCATCGTCAAAACCTCGTCCCAACCATATGGGATCAGCTACATCCTGTTTCACCATTCTGCTCTGTTAAATGCCATATCCATTGTTATATGATCCCTTAAGTCATTTCTCAGTACAATTCTTGTCAGTTTTTGTCTGCCCCTAGCTCTTATAGCCCATTTGACTTGTAACAGGTTGTTTCTTCTTATGGGTGCTGTAGATGGTCTTCTATGTATGTGACAACCTTCTTAGTCTACTTTCCCTCATTTCATCACCTATTGGAGATACTCTTATCTTAGGTGTCCTAGGTGATGTAACAAAGGTTGTGTTTGGTACTATTGCTGTTTCTACTTGAAATGGTTTGGGTTGATCAATACAAATTGTGGTTTCTACCTAATTTGATGTTTCAACTATAATCATCAATGATCAACCCCACACATGCATTTTTCTAGTTGAAGTGACTCTCATATGTAATGTAACAAACTAACAATACATATTTCTCACCAATTTGTATTGATTAACCCAAAACATTTCAGGTGAAACAGCAATGGTACTAAACACAACCAAAGTCAAAAGCTGATACTTTGTTGATCTTAGCATATCATATTTGTACAATGAATTGCTATAGAGATTCTGTTTCTTGCATATAGAAAAGAATTGCTAACTTTGAAGTCCCAAGTGGATGCCACAAGCTAATTGGTGTAAATGAATTGCTAATTCATAATTTCTTAGTAGGTTTCGAGAATCAAGCACATGGATATAATGCAACCTGAAGAATGGTTTATTCTTTTGTGGCTTTATTAGTTACATAATGGTTCTGATTATCATTTTTTGAGTTCTTCAATTTTTGTTCCTAAAATAGATACGTGATGAGTTAAAAAAGTGCAATGAAAAAACTATATAGTGAGCACTGTAGCATGAAATAAAACAAGGTTGCCCTTTAGTTATAATTTCATGTTCTATATATCATCACAATTGAGATGTGAAACCTATTTCTGTACCTTTTCTGGAGTATGACTACGCCAGTGCTTTTCACTACCTGATTAACTGTTTGGGCTTGGTTTTCTTTGTCGGTGCAGAGAGGAGATGAATCGTCGAAACTCAGTCTACAAGCAAAAAGAATTTCAGGAGGAAGTTATTGTTAATGGTCACTGAATGTGATGGTCACATGGATAATTTTGATACGAGTTCCAAAAACTCCCTCTCCAAGGTTGAAGTCTAAAGAAGGCACTCAGGTTATATTATCCTAATTTCATAGTTTCACCCACTATAGGATTGAGAGGGAAAAGAAAGTTTTGGGCGAGAGGGGCTACAATACTGTCACCAGTATACGTCTGAGGGCTTGTTGGGTGTTMATGGTCGTATCTTGTTTATCTGTAAGAAAGCCGGAGGGCAGAGATGTGCGGAGATGAAGAGTTGGTTGTGTAATATTGATTCTAAAGTATATGACAAAATGTAATTATATGCATAGAAAATATTCTCTCTCTCTCCCGGTGTGTGTGTGCAGTGTTTTTTGTGATTTGTATCCAAAATGCATCTTTTCAAACTGTTAAATAACTAAATTGTTCCAGTATTTATAAAAATAAATAAAAAAATGGATAAAATCAAAGGTAAAATACAAAAACCTCCCCCAAGTTTCTGATAATCATAAAAGACATCCCCTATAGTTTTACTTTAACAAAAACCTCCCTGTCAATAGTCAGGAAATTACCCCCAAGTGTCGTTTAATTATTCTGTAAAGTATCATTTTTGCCCTCAAACGAGCAACATTTTACATTTTCCTTTTTGTCAGATTAGAAGAACGTAAACCCTAAAGTTGCAGCAGTGCTACACCGTTACTGGTCGGAATATTCTACTTCTCGAATATTCATCCATTTTCATGCAATTGTTCTTCATTGGAGACTGACTGACGAATATTCTCATATTTCCGTTTTGAAGTTTACTATCTGTATTCATTCTTTGAAAATCCTAGGAGTTCGGTTTCTTCACTGAGCCAAGGGTTCAACATCTGAACAGTTGAGTGTTCATATCATGGTTTTTAAAACCGACCTGGTGACTGAATAGGTCAGGGGTCCGATTACTGGTTTGAATGGTCCAGCCATTTGACTTGAAAAATCGGCCCGTTCTGACAAAAATTTAAAAAAAATTAAAAAAATTGAAAAATGGTTAAAACCATGGTTCAAAATATCGATGTCTGATACGCCAGTATGGGTGTATCAGACGAATCGATACTCCTTTTGGTGGTATTTTTTATTTTATTTTTTGCCAACTGGTTCAGGGGAGCCGATTTAGGTCTTTGCCACACCCTGAACCGGTCAGACCACCGGTACACCCACTGTAGGGGCATATCGGTGGAGTGTCGGAATGATACGTATCGGTCCGTATCTTTGAACTTTGGTCAAAACTGTTCGAACGGTTCGAACAGTTAACTGATCGGTTCAGCGATTTGCTGACTAAAATCAACGGTTTAGGGGGAAAATGCGGTTTTGGGGAAAAGTGGAACCGGTCAGGTGACCGGTTCCTGGTTTTTCCGGTCCCGTCCGGTTTTGAAAAGCATGGCAGTTGGTTTGAATGGATTTTTATTGGATACGAGTGGGGTTTATTGTAGTTTATAGGTTTTCTTTGCTTCATTTTTTTCCATTTTCGTTGTTTTAAACTCCCATTGGTTTTTATTTCTCTATTGTAAGTTTGTAATCCATTGTTTGACTTCATCAAACTTCACAACAATTCATTGATCTATATTTAACCGGTGCACAAAATTACAGAAAGAGGAAATAAGAATCAGAAATATGATACGTTTTTAGAACGGTGCAAATAATTATAATGTAGTGGAATTTGACCTTGGAAATTTGCTTAAATCAATTCATATCCATATTTACAAGCTTAAACCCCCTCTTTGTTTGTTCAACAGAAATTTTCACATATGTTTGATGTCCCTAAGGCTAATAGGGGCATTCAAGGATTTTGCTCTCCGTTATAAAGCAAAAATCCCCACCTCATTTTGCCAAAAATCAGTGTTAAGACATACCGAAAATAGAGCAACATTGATTGAATAATATCAACAGTTACCTCACTGGCTTTGTTACAGAGAGGTATAATGTCAATGGCTACCTCGCTGGCTTTGTAACAGAGCAACACTAGCTAAAATTCAAAAATTACCTGCATCGGTGGTATAATGTCAACGACTACCTCTCATTGATTGAAAGAGAAGGAAGAAATCGACAAAGATGAAGAAAATGGAAAGGAAAAAGAGAGTCAATAGAGTTCGTTGAACCCTTGTGTTCCTCCTGCTCCTCTTCAGATTTGATAAACTGGGATAAGAAAACATGGTAAATAGGACAACATGAGAGGAAAAGAGGATAAAATGTCGATAAGGGTATTTTAGCAAAAATAGTTGCAAATTAATTTTATAAAGGGTAAAATAGGTATTTAAAAAAAATTGATTCATGAGTTTAACGTTCTCCCTCTTGATCATTGATGAAAGGGAGGTTTTTGTCAGGTCTTTTGAAAACATAGGGAAAGTTTTTGTTAAAGTAAAACTATAGAGGAGGTTTTTATGATTGTCAGAAACTTTACGGGAGGGTTTTTGCATTTTACCCTAAAATCTATTATATTTTATTTCTTATTAAAATTAAATATTGACGTATTTTTCAGCTCATATGTTTTATATGCAAGGGAAAACTGGTATTTTAAATAGAAAGTGGAAGAGCTTTTGACCAATCAAACCACTCCCCCCCACCTGAATTGCCATGAATAGTCTAACCCTAAAATAAAACTGAAGTACAAAAATGTTTTATTCATTTGCAAACTAAGGTAGGTTTTGCTTCATGGTTTTGAGAGTAATTTTAACAGTTGATGCCTAATTAGATGGAAGGTTTTAAGGTACGAATGGCAAAGATTATGAAAAACACAATTTTGAGAGATGAACTGGGTAAGGTTGGAAATGCATGGCTACGATGGAGAAATGAGGGTGACAATACACTCAAGCCTTTGGATCGGATCCACTCAAATTTTGGCAAAAGTCAAACCTAAACCTACACATTTTTTTAATTTTGTCATTTTAAGCACATTAAAGTGGATGGGATTAAATCTAAATCTGATCCAAATCCCACATAATAATTGAATTTAGATCCAAAGATCTGATAATCAGATGGGGTGTGGATTTAATTGGTTCCTATGAATTTGAATCTGGTTACAGCCCCAAAAGCAAGGTTGATCTATGTGATAAATTACAGATAGCCACCCTGTACTTGGGGGTGGTAATACTTAGCCCTTCTACCAAATGTCTTGTTTCCCGCTTCCAAAATCAACCCTTCTTAACATTGATAAGATTCAAAAACAATTTTCATGGGGGAGGGGAAAGGCCCTGAACAAATTAGCATGGATCAGCTGGAGGAAATTGTGCAAACCCTAATGAATGGGGGGAGGGGCTTAGAATCCAAGAGGCCAGAAAATCTCACATACCCCAAATAATTTATGGGTTAAAGTGGTCGAGCAAATACCTAAGAAATGAAGCCCTGTTTTAAGCCATCCCCAAGAAGAATATGTCCCTCAGTTGGAAAAGAAGGGCTCAGATCTTGGGACCATGAGTCGTTCCCACATCCCTACCTACGTGACATTACAGCTGGGCATTGGGAATATCTCCCTTGTCATTTATGGGGAGATGTTCTATGGATAGAGATGTGGGAACAATTAGTAGGCAGCAGATCCTGAATGCAAAAAGAATCCTTGCTAAATTGCTAATAAAGATCTTTTGGTGAAAGGATTGAGATGGAGCATTGGAAATGGAGAGACCGCCCTCTTACCATTGGTTCTGCATCTTGGGTGATCTCTGATCAAGAGGATGAAGAAGAGAGAATTTAAAAATGAAAATTTGGTAAAGCAGAAGGTGCAACCAAAAGATAAAACTCTTCCTTTGGTTTTTATGAATGGTTAGAACTTAGAATTCCATCGATGACAGTTGGATAATGCAGTAGCATGAATGGAAAGCTTGGTGAATTTTATTTTTATGGAATGCCTCAAATCTCAAATCCCAGCCAGACACTCCTCGGGGTCCAGATATATAATTGGCTTGACATCAGCTTGTTGTATATAGTTTTGATATTCTTCCACCATAAAACTACATCAATGCAAGCAAGAAACTTCAAAGAGAAGGAAAAAGAGGACTCATAAGATGCAGAGGAAAGAAAATATAAAATAGTGAATCGCCATTATATACCAACACAAAATTTTCCGCTTACAGCATGGTTTACAGTGGAGGTCCAAGAGGAAGCCTATTCATGATCTGATGATATACGGATGACCCATTTGAAAGGTTAAGACCAGGCTCTGGCATGGTCTCTTCCTTTGGTTCCCCTTTTGGTATCATAAAACCCATTTCACTTAACTGGCGCTGTTGCCCTAGATAGGGATGAACAGGCAAAACAGGTAACTTCCTTTCACTGGGGCCCAACCCAGCCATTGCCAGATTGGCCAAGCCTGGCTGGGTCATTGCAAAAGTGAACCCGGTTGAGGGTCCTACTTGCTGCCTTCCAGGAAGACTAAATGAACTGATTGATGCAGGCCCTTCAAACCTTGCCATGCTATTGTGAATTTGAGATGGCTCAGGCCTGTGAACTTGAGTTTGAGAAGTTGGCAGAGGTGCTGTTATCGAGTTACTGGAGCTAACATGGTTACTGTTCCTTGCAGCAGGAACATCATGATTGTGCTTGCCCTCGTATGTGGTGATCACTGATTTGAGGTCATGTGCAGCCCTTTCTACATGCTTCCTCACTGTGCAGCCTGCATTTGTGCACTTGTAGTAGCTCCTGCATCAAATAAGCCAAAATGTTGATCTTGCTTCAGATTTACCATCTTATTAGCAAAATGACAGAAAGATGGGACGTAGAAAATAGATATACCTTGGATTTGGGTTTCCTTTGACAACTTTCTGCCCATACTTCCGCCAGCGGTAGCCGTCATCGAGAATGTCTACCTCACTTGTTGTTTGGACCACAACTCTAGGCTCCCGAATTGCTCTTGAGGCCCCATTCATTTCCAATACAGATGCATCAATCCTCCTGGAATTACACCATATGCATAAGTGCTGCCTAAGTTAAAGATCTAATATAACATGACAAATTGATCTATCAAAAAAAATATATATATAAAATGACAAATTGCAGAACAATTAACACATTAATTTTGACCTTCTCTTAGATTCGGACTCATCCCCTTCACCATCATAGCCTAATGACATGCTTCCATGAGTTCCCCTATCATCTTCATCTTCATCATTGGAAAGAGTAGATGAGACATCCACAGCATCACCAGATTCTAGGTGAAGACCATTTTGAGCCTGTGAGTTGGATGGGTCACAGAAGTCGGGGCTCATAGCTGAAGTCACCTCCAGGTTGTCACACCTCCACTCAGGGCCTCCAATGATAGATACTGGCTGTGAGCTTGCCCATGCTGCATCACCCACAGCTCCATCCTGCAGCCCTGCTTGTTCTGGGATATCAAGGTGCATGTCACTCAAGTTAGAAGATCCAATGGCCGATCGTCGATTAGGTGGGGGTTTGGGGTGATTGTGGGCCCCCTTATAGATTATCTCTGTGATATGACCTTCAGGAGATCGTTCTACCTTCTTCTTTACTTGACAATGTGGATGTGTGCATTTGTAATAACTTCGAGGAAACTCACTACCTTTAACCTGTTTCTGCCCATACTTCCTCCAGTTGTACCCATCCTCAGATGGGGCACCACCAATGGAGTTCACTTCTCTTTTTTCTTCTTCTCCATCATGTTGTTCTTCAAGTGGTGGAGAACATTCAGCATTGCCTGCAACTGTATCAAACACCACTGGATCAGGCACAATATTTTTTCCCTCCCTATCTCTTCCAATTGATGCTTTTGGAAATTCTGGCTGATTAAACCCATTTTGATTCTGAGAGAGAACATCTGTTTGTTCTGCATTCTGAGACATTAGAGACTTCCCTGATTGAACTGAGACCTCAATTCTGGGAAATGACTGCTGGAGATTTGACACACTAGTGACCTGTATGTAGAAATCAAATAATTAGTTATTCTTTTTTTTTTCCTTTCTGCCACAAAAGTTACCTATCTAGCATTATGGCTGACATTCGCATTGCCTTTTTATCCTTTGTACCTAAATATAACTTGAGATGTACTTCCAACTTAAAATGCTACACTAGAGAGAATCAAAAGCTACTCCAGAAAGAAATCCAGTTGATAGTTACTTTATTTGCATCCGCGAAAAACAAGGAGCTTGATTTTAAATGAGGCTTGAACTCAAAAGATGAGGTATCAACATCTTCGAAAGTGCCATCCTTACTTCTTTCAGGAGCTTCTGAGATTGACAATGAGCTTCTACTGTTACTACTTGAGGCAAAAGAGAATTTGCCTGTTGTAGGAGAAGGCTGTGCCTGCAAAGTGAGTTTAGAAAGTTAGATAAAATATATCACAGAAAGGATTCATAGTCCGAGTGATTTCAATAAATGTTGGTGGTATCCAAAACAAGAATTGCCTTGGGTCAAGGAAAAGATATAAAATTGACCTAATCATGAATTAAAATCTAATATTCTAATTAATTAAGATTTTAAAATAACATCAAACATATATAAATCAACAAGAGATTACCTTGGCAATTGAAACTAAACACTATCCTGATTTGTCATGATAATTTATAACTTAGCTAGCACCTTATTGCTTGACACACAAATGAGTATTGATTAAGCAACTACGAAATTAGTCCATACTTAAAATAAAAGGAGTCTAATTAAGAGAAAACACAAAATTACCTTGACGGATTAATATTGATCCTTTAAACTAATCATAATGTTTGTCATGTAAGATTTTGTGGAAGGAGAAGATTCTTCAGCAGTCAAAAATTAATGAATTGAAACTGGTATCTGATCCAGCCATCATAATAAAGTGAGTACCTCCCTTCATAACCACTTGGTCCATTAGTTCATTTGAGAATTGTAACTAGATTTCCACGAGCACTTCTCAGGCATGTTCTCAAGGAAATGAAGAGAGGACACAATGTGGAAGAACCAAACATATAGCATTGTAAGCAAGTAATTGGCTGTTTTCAAGCAATGATATCAACCTTTAACTAATACGAAAATAATATTTGCTGTGCTTGAACCAAGAAAACTAAAAGGCAAATACCATTTTCCACTCTTGCACCAAAAAGACTTGTCATCTCATTGACACATTTATGTGAACAAACACATTACGTTGAAATTGGTGCACACATGGGAAAACTGCATGTAAAACAGTGAATCATGGGAAGATACTTACATAACATTCTCATAAATATACGAATGGCCATGTGATGTGGGCAAGGAAACAAGGAAAGAATGCATGGAAAAAGAAATAAGTTTCTTTCAAAAGCTTATATAATGGCAATTTTGTAATTTGTGGTCAGAATTTGGTCAATTTGAGTTTTGTAAAAGTTATTTTCCAGTGTATTAGTATCATCAGGTTAGGCTTAATCATCTTAATAGGATCATAATAATTTAAGGTGTCTCTTTTAGAGTTCTAGAATTTTGAGAAGTTGAAGATGCATTAACATCAATTTTCTTTCAGCCTATTTTTAAGGAATCAAAACTTATCCATTTCTTGTATCAAATCAGGGTGGGAGAGAAACAGAAGCACAAAATTGTATTCGCAGAAGAGATGGAGAATAAAAAGAGGAGCAAAAGATCTGTCATCAGGATAGCATCATTGTCTCCCTCTTCCCATACAGCGTATTTGCAAGATTGTACTCTCTCTGTGTGTCTCATGCAACTAAGAGGGCATTTTTCTCTTACCTTGCCCCCAACCCAACCCCCCTCTGAGGGCAGAATTGCCTCAAATCAAGGTGGGAACCAAAAGGATAAAATTGTCTTTACAGCAGAGCTGGAATACAAAGAGGAGCAAAATCTATCATCATACGAGTAAAAAGATAGCACCATCCTCTCCATCATGCAGAGTAATTGCAAGATTGTACCCCCCCTGTACCTTGTGCAACTAAGAGAGTGTTTTCTCTCTCAGGGCAGAGTTGTCTCAAATCAGGGTGGGAAAGAAACAAGGGGAATATTGTGTTTGCAGGAGGGTTGGGAGTAACAGGATAGAGTTGTCTCAAAAGGTCTGTCATTTTGTGAGTAACAGGATAGCATCATCCTCTCCCTTTTTTTGAAAGAAAGTAACTGGAATTCATTAGAGAATCAAAGCACACGAGAAGATGTACGAAAGGGTAGGGGAAATGCCAAGAAATTACACAGGTAGCAGTCTATCACATAAAAAAACATCAAGAAAGAGCACCAAAATTTGCTAAACCATCTGCTACTGAGTTTAGATCCTTCGGAATCCAGGGCAAGTTAGCATCTAAAAGCTCCAGTAAGTCTCTAACCTATGAAAGGAAATGGCTGTCTCCGCAGGCCACCTTCTTTATCCCCCAACCATTTTATAATATTTGCGAAGTTGCCTGCAATGGATAGGTTCTGAAAATCCAAGTTTCTAACTATTCGAATGCCTGTGACAGTAGCCAACGCTTCAGCATTAGTAAAATCAGCAATTCCAATTGGCCCATGATAGGCCCAACAGATAATACCCCTGTTATCTCTTAAAACTCCTCCAATTCCAGCTAAACTGGGATTGCTAAAAGCACTTCCATAAAATTTTGAGGTCATCCCTCCTTCACATCTGAAAATTGGTGGGAGAAATTGATAAAAAAAAAAGGAAATAGGTGGGAGAAAAGGTGAGAACAGAAAGTTGTGCACAGCTCTATCAAGGTCACTAACTGAGATTCCTTTAAACAAATCAGACCCACAGATTGCAGTAAAACATGATGTGGGAAGTGGGATATTAACTCTTCCTGAGATTTGGCCTTATTCTCAAACAACAGACCGTTCCTTTCCTCCCACACACCCCACATCACTGCATGCAGCATTGTTTTCCAATAAACCTTTCCTCTTCTACTGAGGCCTCTGCCTTGCCAGTTGCCACTGATGTAAAAAGTTGAGAACATGTTCAGGAGCAACCCATCTGTAATCATCCTCTCCCTCTCCCTCATGCAGAGTAATTGCAATTCAACATGTTGAATTGTATAGAGAAAGCAAGCATAAACCTGTCTTTATTGTGCATATGATGAAGCACAGGAACTGCCAAGTCTACCATGAATTGACCCATTAATATGTGTCAGCTCACACATCCCAACCTAAAGTAGGGTGCCCATCAGAAACTAATTGATAGACCTAACCAAAACTTCATGGTCAAACTCCTATGATTTATGAAAGCTCCTCCTACTCCAGAATGGACCCAGGTTCACTATGAATTACCTTAAGAAGTTGAGCTTAGTATCTCCCTCTCAAAGATGTTTAACTGGTAGTTGTAGGATGAGAAAGTAACCACCACCCATTACCTTCCAACTATAGAATCCACCTAGGAATCTCTGAACTCCTCTATAGTTAAGATCTAATGAGAAACCTAGATATTGAGGAAGACCAATCAAAAAAGGATAAACTAGGTAGTCATAAAGTCAACTAAAACCTCAGCATACTGCTTTTTTGTAAAAAAACAAATGTTTGAGTTACACTTAACAAGGTTGTTTAAACTTCGAAACTCCACAAACTATCTCACTACCTAAAGATACAAAATATAAGTTTTTGGAGAGCACTGTATTCTTATGATTGTGTTGATATCTTATCAAACCATTTTCTTTAACAATTTCACATTTTGCCAATAAATGAAAATAAGCTCATGGTAGAAGCATAAAAAAAAGGAATTAACACTTTCCAAGTATTTTGATCTTACCAGAGAATTGGAAAGGAAAACTGGAGAATCCAGCAAGGTGGTTGGACTTAGACCCGGTGGAATTGTTATATAGGGAGACTGGATTTCAGGTGATGAGGACAGGTTAGCGGATCTGATCTTTTCAGTATTCAATTTTGGTGCACTAAACCCAGCTCTTGCTGCCATTCTCTCTGCAAGTCCCCCTCGTGAACTTGATTTTTGGATAGAAAAAAGGCTTGGTTCTGACAAAAGATGGGTAGAAGCATCAACTCCTGTCCCATTTTTATCTTCCGAACTTGCCATATCTTTCTGATCAGCTCCCGCATGAGTCCCCTGACTACTATTGGGTAAACTCCCTCCATTTCCATTATGTTCAAGCAGCTCTGAGAATGGCCTTGAACCAAAATCATCACCTAAGATGGTTGAGAAGAACGTCCTTGGGCTAGGCTCAGGAGGGGCCCAATCCCCTATTACAGCAACGTTGTCATCAATCCCAGCCATGATAATTCAAATCTTTCAGTAATATCAGCCCAAATCAGGTCTTCTTCAATTAAAGTGTCACAAAAGAAGAAATCATAATCCTGAAGGAATTAGAATGCCCAAGTTAGATCCATTATGCCAAAAAAAAGGGCAGACCCAGCTACCTCTGGTTCCGGATAATATAGAAGAAACAATTAGTAGGACAGAGAACTCAAATTTACAGATGTATAGACTTCAGAAATTAAAGAATTCTATATTTCAAAGGGTCCAAAAGGGAAAAGCCTCAGAAGACCAGCCATTTAGTTGAAAAATGGGCAAGTCAATGGCAAGACTAGGAGTTTCCAGGAGATGTCAAAGAAGCGCATCAAAAGCATGAAAGAAACGCAAGTTCAGCTGACGTTTAAGATCAACACGACCTATATAAAAAAAAAAACAAAAATAATAATAATAACAGTTCAATCGTTTCTAAAAACTCTTAGAAAATATACATGAGGAGAAAATGAAATAAAGTACCGGTGAAGAAAACATATTTCAGACTTTTAGGATAAACCCAATAAGAAATATTTTGCATTTATCGTTTCCCTGCCTCAAGGAATCAAAACAAACCAAGGCCAAGTATCTAATTGGAAATAGAGAACAATTGCCCAATATATCTGAGAAATGGAGAAAGCCCATCAAATAAAACACCATAATAAACAAAAAAAATGCAAAAAGAGAAAACCATTTGCGCTAACAAATTTCAGACGTGAAGAAATGGGACAGACCCAGTAAGAAATATTTTGCATCTACTGTTTCCTTGCCTACAGGAATCAAAACAAATCTCTAACTGAAGGAGATGGAGAATAATTCTCCAATACATCTGAAAGAAACAGAAAATCCATTACAAAAAAAAAAAATGTGAAAGAGAAACCCATATAAAAAAATGAAAAATCCGAATCCAATAAAGATCTAACCATTAGAAATGAAAATAACTCCCAGGGGAGATCCAAATCAATATATCCCCTGAAAGCCCAAATAAAAGAACCAGCAAAAAAAATCCAATAAGCAGCTAAACAGGATGAAGATTCAAGAAACACCTTATATTTAAGGATAATACAGTCACAGAAGCAGCTGGTTAAAATTTCACAAAAGAAAAACCAATAATAAAGAATGGCAATGATAAGAAAAAGAAGAGGACCCAATCATTAAAATGGAAATGGAGTTAAACAATGATTAGTCCAAGCCCGAGAATAAATGGAGGAGGAAGCAGAGAGGCAGACCTGATCAGTTGCAGTTTAAAGCAACAAATCCTTCTTCAGAAAATAATATCCCCTCGCTGTCAATTTCCCAGCTTCGGCTTCGTACGGTTAATGAGAGAGAGAGAGAGAGAGGAAATAAAGAAAAGAAAAAAAGCTGTGTTGTGGTGGGGAAGTTTGACCGAGACTGGAACGGGACGGATTCGTTGTTGAAGGGAAAGACGAAATAATTAAAAAAAA